TTATTTTTGTAATATTAACAAGGTTTTTAAGTTTTCGACTTGTGGCTCATGCTGATTGATTGTCAGTCAATTGTTACATCATTAATTACGCAAAAATGTCAAACACTGTCAAACAGTTTACAGATTTGTAAACTGTATATCTTTTGGCTTTGGACTGTTGGTTGACATTTTATATACTAAATACTGCAATACTGAAAATAATGAACCGTTACAGCCCATCTTTTAGCCAACCTTGAAGACGCTTTAAGGGTTGATTATCGTTTGATACTAGGGCCAAAATGATACCCAATTTTCAGTACCAAAACGTTTCTAATATTTTCCTTACCTTTATAATATATTTTTCTACAGAACCCTTTTAAAACAAGAAACACAAGAGTTATCAAATTTTCAATATTATCTAACCATGGGGAACTGGAAGAGAACTTAAAATGGTCTAAGACTTGAATTAGTAACTTTTGGATAAAAGAATAAACAAGATCACCAATCTGACCAGACATTCGACTTCAGCTTTTGATACTTGACATGTTACCAAAATAGTATAAAGATTCAGTACCCTGCCCTGCTAGCTATGTCGCTCTAGTTATCTCTCTTTAACCATGTCACACTCTTTCTTTGTCATACACAGCACACAAACAAACACCTACAGTGACACAAGCATTCAGACATACACTCCTCATGCCACAGGATGTCAGGTGGTCCAGCCATTGTGTCCCCACCTGTAGGACATTGTCAAAGCACAAAGGAAGGGCACAGTACGTGTCAGCCTGCTGTCAGCTTCTGTTTGACTTGAATTTGTAAATCCTTCTCTTTCAGCCGCAGGGCTTTGAAAGATTAGCCAAAGGTCTGTGGAGTAATTCACATCTGTGTAGGTTTTACTTATTGTCAAGAGGAGGGGGGATCCCTCCACAGTTTCCACAGACCACAATAATTATTATTGTCAACGCTGTTCAAGTTTCACAGTTTGTTTCTGGGCGCATAAACATGTTCATAGTGGATTTTTTGAGGGTGGGGTACCCATGAGGATTTGAGATGCTTTGTTGTGTTTATTAACTGCGTGGATCAGGGATTTAAAGGAAACTCCTGGTCTACTGTTCACCTGTGTATGTAAGCCTCATCTTAAGGTCACTGGTGTTTTCCTTCCAGACAGCTGAAACTTCAACTGCGAAGACAAGAAAAAAAGAGTTTCAAAGAGGAGCAAACTGAATATTGAGTATCACAAAGAGCCAGAATCTCTACCTGGGACCTGTGCAACACTCAGCTTCTCAGGCACTAACCAGACCGATGTTTGCCATAAAGCGGGGCCTCTCACTTGCTGCCCTGTGAGGTCACAGCACCTGTTCTTGGTAATGGCTGGCAGGTGACGTAAGGCCTCCACTTGTTTTCCATGGTGTAAGGTGGAGGTCCCCCGGCTCCCTCCAGCATTGAGTCATATTGGTTGTTTGCAGCAAATGAGCAAGTCTGACTCCATCAAGTGAAATGATCTTAGGCTTACCTGTCAGAGGCAAGTTAGTGAAACCAAATGTAATCATGTACTTCTGTTTAGGCTGTTTTCCAGCACTCTTTTGTGCTGTGTTACTCATGAATAAGGCTTATTGTTTTCATTTTTGTTTCTTCCAAAAACTGAAAAGAGAAAAAGAGGTGAAAACTTGATGGTGGCATGGTTAACACATCATTTTGGTTTAATGCAACTTAAGTCTAATTTTTTGCTTTAGAAAATCTAGACTTTGACCAATCACGGGTAATTTCAGAGAGAAGGAGTTTCTATTGGCTGTTTTCATAGGGCAACCGACTTCTGCTGCGAACTTGTGGATTTGGTGGGCGGGGCTTAGCAGAGCGTTTGGAGGAAGCAGATCTACTTTATGGAAACAGTGGATTTGTATGATTTTTCCAGCAGTGTGATGAAGAAATGATTTGTCAGATATTTCGTTTGCAATTTCTGTCAGTTATATATAAAAACTTGCAATTAAATTTCCAAACAATTTACATCAGAATCAGATTCATTTCCCCACCATACATTATAGCGATGTCGCTGTATTCCCAGATCTAAGTCATTACTTTGGGCTGTTAGTTTAGTGTCATCATAACTGGTAGAAATGATGGCCATAACAATGAATATAATAAATAAAAATGATCCATAACATGTTGCATACTTATTATATATACTATTTATATATCACCTTAACCTGGCACTGTACAGTAGCTAGCCACTGTTACTAGTAGTATAGTCAATATATATTGTACTGTGTATGTGACAATAAAGTGAACTAAAGTGGTTCTATTCTTGTCTTTATAATCTGACTTTAATAGATTTTTATTTATTCTTCTAAATAAATACTGCTAAATACCCTTTTTCATGATTCACAGCAGCTACATATTTCAGTACAAATGTGTGCAGGGATAATCAGGATGGCAGCAGAAAAGTTTTAGAGCACAACAAAATATTGTTGTATCTTTATATAATTAGCTTACTTAGCTGGTTGATATAAAATCTGAAAGCAGCCCAGGACCAAAGACTTTATCGAAGCCCTGTATCGAATACTGCTGTATTGGCTCATTTGGCAAACTGACTTCATTGATTTACATATCTCCCCTAATTTGATATTTTTAGCGCCGCTGCATAAACATTACTCGCCTCCTTTGCCTTTGCCGGGTCCACCTGATGATGTCTTTTCAAGGCTGGCTGCAGGAGGACAGAAGCCAGTAGATAGGGTATCTGGCCCAGGCCTCCAGCCAGCTGTGAACCTGATAGCATCTGTTTTAAACGTTTGAGAGACAGAGAGAAAGGAGCCCTCTTTTCTTCTGAGCTCTGGAGCGCTAGTTATCTCACGCCTTTTTAGTAAAAGGATCCACAGATGGCCCATGTCCTGACAGTCATACAAATGTGATATCACTAGCTGAGGTATGTTGCTTGGATCCACTTACTGTGTTACTGTAGGTCGACAAGTGGGACTCATTCATGCTCGGAGTAAACAAGACAAGTCAGACACAAAAAGAATCCTCTTTTTCTCAAGACAAGGCAGCAAAGAAAGAAAGAAAAGCTTCGTTTTATCTATGTGAAGGCAGACAAAACAACCTCTTCACACCTGAGTGTGTCTTCTGTTTGGAGTTCTTCCCATCCATTGTCATCATGTGTTATCTAAACCATCAAATCGACATGAAAAGATCATTTCATGTTCTGCTGTCACCTGAGGGGATTTGGACAACTTGCCTTTCTGTTGCTTTGTGTGAATCCGGTGACAAAACCATTTGTCATCCTTTTTTTTCCTGGTTATGTCTGGTTCAAGCTCACTTCAAAGGCCTGGTCTCTGATGAGCAGCTGGAAAACTGTCTTTAGATGTATGTTTTCTGTTTGTGTTGGAGAATCCAAGTCTTTTTTGTTCTTACTCATTGAGTTTTAATCAGAAATCAGTGTTTGGGTTATAGGAAGCCATTGTGTTGCCCTCACATCCAGTAGTTTTTCTTTTTTAATAAATGTTTTGGGCATTTTATTCATTTATGAGAGAGAGAGAGAGAGAGAGAGAGAGAGAGAGAGAGAGAGAGAGAGAGAGAGAGAGAGAGAGAGAGAGAGAGAGAGAGAGAGAGAGAGAGAGAGGATGCAATGGAAGTTCCCCAAGCCGGTTTCAAACTGAGCATTTGCCAATAAAGTTGAATTCATCAAGATAACCTGGGTCTCGGTTTTCAATAGTCGGCAAAATAATCTGTCTGATCATATGGTGCATTATAATCATTGCAGGATAAATATTTGTTTTTTTTGTTTTATTTGTGTTGTGAACTGTCAAGTGTTGAAAAATGACATGTATAGCTGTTGGTTAATTGGTGAAGCATCATGCTGCAGTCAGTGATGGTGTTTTCTTGCTGTTTGGCTCTGTTCAGGTGGACCCCATTTTGGATTGGGTCTAATTATCCTCTGATCCACATTGGACCAGGCTGACTGTCTACTGGTCCCTTTTGGAACGGGGTTTCTTTCAAGAAAAAATAGATATGGGTCAATGCCAGATATGGTCCAAAGACCTCCACATCAGAGAAGTTTGCCATTTTCATGTGGTGTTATTAAAGTATTAAAGCAGTGAGACCGCTATTGTTACAGCTAAACCAGGGCAGCTGAATTATCTGTGAAACTGCTAACAGTTACATTTTTCTTAAGCTTGTGGGAAATAGTGTTCATTAAGACAAACCTAAAATCTCTACCTTATTAAATTGAATAATTATGAAATATCTCATAATAATTCAATCAAATTGATTGGCAAAATCATCCTCTATTCTTAACAAAAAGAGAGAAACCTCAAGATAAGCAACATCCCTCTTCCAGTATGGACAGACATGCAATAGATGTTGTTTACAGAAGGTGCTATCTGTGTAATGGAGCTTTACAATAAATACAATAAACTGCTGCAATCAGCTTTGTGATAGGGCTAGAGTTTAGATTACGTTTAGTAACTGTCAAAGCGATGCCCTATATATTTTTCCTCTATAACTCTACACTAAATTATTTCTCACCTTTTTAAAGCGCCTCTTTAGGGCCCTTTTTGGTCTTTCCTTGACTTCCCCCCTTATTGTTATCACCCAAAATCTCCTTAATTCTACACACAACGTACAGCATTAAGCTTTAAGTCAAGACTCCACATTTCATTGTCATTTCAAGCTACATTTTTGCCCGGACTGTAGGTGTGTTGGAACGGAACTGAGACTCTAGTTACTATAAGTCGAAGGATTCAGCTCGAGTCCCACGCACTTATCTGAGCAGGATATTCTTTAGACAGCCCACCTCAGTGAGCTCGGGCCATCGCAGGACGACATTAGTTGAAGTCGTTTTTGACTTGGACCTGATTCAAAGCATAACGTGAGCTTTTGTATTTCAAAGTGGGAGGATTTGTAACAGATCCCCTCTATCTGTCCACTTCTAACAAGTGACTTTGGCCTTCCTGGCTTTCACTCAGGAGAGGCTTGATGGCCATGATTATTTACACAGAGGGTTTCCTTCTTTTTCTTTCTTTTAACAGTCGGTCATTTTCATAAGGGATCATAATACTCTTGGACAGGAAGTATCTGGCTACATAGACTACGCCCACAGACTCAAGACCCAAGATTTTGAACCATATTTCAATGGAAAGAAGAGGCTCATGCCAGGACGCTTGGATTTATGGTAAGTCTCCTTCCATTGTAACATGTCCACGTTGGTTGGGGAGGGCTTGACTCGAGTGGGATTTGACAAGATTTGAAGGGTAAGGAAATCTTATTATCCAGGATTAAAGACTCAGGTTGACGTGAGAGACCAATATAGGCTTGGAAGGAGCTGTGCAAAGGGCCAGTATATTTAGTATGTACAGCACCAGCCCTTGTGGCCTCAGCATAGATGTGGAATAAATATGCACTTCTAAAGCAAAGCTGAGTAGAGCTGCCAAAGTGCTGAACCTGTCTGAACAAGACAGACATGATTAGAGTCAGGATTAAAGCAGACTTAAACCATGAGATTGTGATCTTCTTTTAATGTGCTTTAAATCTGTCATCACAGATACATATAATATATTTTATGGCCTTAGATACATTAGATACACTGATAGATAAATAGACTAGCTAATTGACTGATTTATTTTTAGCCCTGAAAACATATTTATGAAATTAACTCATGATCTATTGGTCTTATAAGAACAAACTATTATGTGCCGTGGTAGTGATTTCAGATTAGGGATGAATTTGTGTTTTTGTCTGTGATTTGAAGTAGAATTCTTTTGGAAATTATTTATGCCAAAATAAATGTTGTATCTTTGGGTTTTTGATCGTTGGTTGAACAAAAGAAGCACCTTTAAAATTAGGGTCCAAATTGATAATGAGGGTAATTGTCAGTTGTAGCACTAGTCAGGTGTTTCCATGTGTTTTCATGCATAGTTAGTATGGCAGTTGTTGGGTGGTTTTCCCAAAAAACGCCAGTGTTAATAAATTCTGATGAAGCAATTCATACCAAATGTTGAGGGAAATATCTGGCTCCTTAGTTGCTAAATGTTAACCAGCTAGTTGCTAACCATGTCTCGTACATTTAGTATTGCTGCTGGAAACAATGTTGATAAGTGATGATTGTGAATCAAAACTGTGAAATTGAGGAGTAAAACCAAAACAATGACATGAAAGATGGTAAAATTCTTGCAAATTCTGCTTGAAGTTTAAATACCAAGTCTTCAGGTGCTTTAAATCTGGCATATTTAGCCAAGATACATCATGTACTATATGTTGAACAACTACATGCATCAGTGCCAGTCACACAATTCTAGGCCAAGCCACAAGTAAACTTCTGACCTTACAGGTGTAAGCTAAAATCTAGCTTGTATCCCTCAGTGGTACGGGTAACATCTTTATAATTCGTTGTCTATCAGGAGAGCTGTGTACTTAGAGAGCTGTCAGCAAATTACCCGAGCCAAAACCATTCCCACATTCCACATGCTTGTGCATAGTAACATATTACCAACATTTCAGATACGTGCGAGAAATCTCTTGAGGACAAACACAACTAGACAAGGTGGGAATGAGACTGTGTAATACATGGTTATTTTCAGAGTTCAGCCAAATGACATGCACCCCATATAACCTCACTGACACTGGGCAGAACATGGTCTGTAAAGTCCCAATGTGGACAGATTGTAAAGGTAAATGCTTTTTTCCATGGTCTGGATTTTATTGTCTCAGTTTTGACCATCATTCCTGTTGGCTTGAGCGTTTACTCTCCAGCTTAAATCAGGGCCAAATCACGAGTCACTCTTTAAAACATGAGGCCATTAGGGCCAACATTACGATCACAGAGGTTGTAAACAAATCCTCAGTTTGACCGTATTGTCACCACAGGTATTTGGAAGTGGAAATTATACATAGCATACCTGATATTACCATTATTGTTTTTCATGGCATTGTAAAACTGCTGGCCAGTGCAACTACAGTAAGTGCATGCAGGTCAAAGCTGAACCAAGAAGTACAGTAGCTCACTAGAAGCTCTGGAAACTATATGGGTATTTCAATGGAGAGTGTGCATGTGTCATTTTGGCTAGGGCTGTTTGATATGAACAAAACTTCATATTCCGAGATAAGGCATTTCATCCAGATAATGCACATTTTCTGCAAATTCAATGAATAAATAGTTTATATAAAATTACCACATGGAAAGGCCTATTTTCTATTACATTTTACATTTGAAAACTGACAGCTAGCATCTAGATGTAAGCTCTCCTCCATGTTTGTTTGTGCTGCATTCATGCAAATTTCCTGTCTGTGTCTGTGCTGTATAAAGGAACTCAAACCGCTGTCCACATGATGAGCGATGATGAAATAAATGATAGAGCATAATATGAAAGAACATGTTTTTCTATTGTTGATACACATTATATCGTCATATTGCACAGCCCTACATTCAGCTTTAGTTTTGGGATTTGGGTTCATAAAACCCTGGGATAAGTGCAATTTTGAAACATTCAACTGGCGGAAAAGCATATTCACCTGAATTTGTGCCACCCATCCAAATTCCTGGCCATCACGGCTTTGCTTTGACCTTATATTCAACCCGACTGCATCTAAAATTCACTGTGCGTTCTGTCTAAATACTCCTTAAGAATCTCACTATACTATTAGTTAAATTTTAGTTCCAGCCGAGCATACCTCGATGTTCTTAAATAATGATACACAGTCCTGTCATTCAACACAAGATAGTCACAAGATATCCATATAAACATCCATATTTCACTAATAACCACAAAAGCACAATATGCGTGTCAGTTTCAGAATATCATCCCCAGCTTTATGAGCAAATATCCATGTTAGTATTAAGAGTGATATATTTAGTTTGCTGTCAAGTGTTTTGGCTACAGCAGTTATAGGACAACAAGAATGACAGTCTGCGTTTTATTTTTGGAAGTGGTTTTCCCTTTCTTTGAAACCAAAGTGTCAGACATGCAAAGCTTTGTTGTTTTATTTATCCATTTCTCACCATGTGTTCTGACACACAACCCGGCTCGTGGCCTTGAACTCGGCCTCCTCTCTGGCGAGTGGAAGCCCTAACAAGCTGTAGGTGTGAGTCATTGGGCGAGCATGCCTGGAGGTACAGCCTACTCCCTAATGATGCTTTTATGAGGCTTCCCCCCTACACAGGTCTCGCTGCCCTCCCTCCATCTGACATCTGACTTCACACTCCCTCTCTCTGTCTCTTTTTTCACCAATTAAAACTCTGCTTTGTCAGATTTACACATCTCACTGTCTTCATTTTGAACTTTTCTAGCCTCATGTTCCAAGCTTTGCTACCTCTCCCCTTCTCTCTCTCTCTCTACCCTTTGTCATCCTCCTGCCCTCCTACCCCGCCACCACCCCCCACTCCCTCCCTTTTTTTTCATCTCTGTCGGGAACAATAACACCCAGTGTGGTTGCCGCTAAGAGGGAGCAGATGCTGGAGCTGCTGCCCACTCAGTGCACTAAACCTCCCACCGCAGGACTCTGAATCCTGTCCCTCCTCCTCCTCCACAGCCACAAAGAACACAGAGCAGCGACACCAGCGCCAGCTCTGGCCTCCACCTCCCACCTCCAGCAAGGAAGGGTGGATAGGTTCACGTACACAGTCTGCAGTGTCTCGAAGAAAAAAAAACGACCAGTAGCAAGTATCTCCCTGAGGAGCAGAGTAAGAGAATTGAAATGACAAGTAGAAGAGAAAGGAATTGGAGGTGTTTTAAAGACAATATTAAATTATGTAAATTAAATTAAATTATGTCTCTGCTCCAGCAGTATGATGTGGGAAACTTTCCATCTTTGTGTAATGGGAGTGATAGCCCTTTACAAAATGATGAGACACACATACTGGATGCCAAGGACTAAATACCTTTTGACATCTTTCAATTAGGTCCCTTTTAAAGTTCAACATTTTCTAACAGCGCAGGATTATGTGCAGAAGATTTTTCCATTTTTTAAATGCTTCAAAAGTCTTCCATCCGTGCATTATTTCCTACCACAACCTTCAGTTCCAACCTAAAATACGTGTAATTGTGGAAGCAGGACCATATCAGAATGCAGTTTGTTTCAATGTTATGTCAGTTGCAAAATAGGAACTACAGCCTACTTTCTTGACACTGTTAATTGTAACTCTTGTCATTAATGGACTGTGTTTGGTCATCTGCTTTATACAAAAAAATTGAGATGTTAGTCTTTATATTACATTCTCACTTTTAGGATCTTTGCATTTGTTTGACTCTATAGGAGCAGCAAGGAGCAAAAATCAACTGAACGCTGGGCTTGATTTATTTTAGCAGGCACACTGGGTGGGTGGGTCATATAAACATCATTTATAAAGGCATATGTTGTAAGCTTCTGACCTCCTGGGAAACCTGGTTAAAGTAAATCAAGCAGTTTACATCAGAAAGTTTACATCAAAGAAGCGGTTAATAACACACACACACATAACAATAGAAGCAATAGGTAGGTAATAATATTAAAAATACTAAAACCGCTCTTCACAAACTTTTGTAAATGCTGATATTAAGTGATAATTGAGGAACATCTGCTAAACTTACAAACATATGCACAATTGTAGCTTTATTGGACTGTAACTGCCTCTGGGATACAATACATTTCAGATACACACACCTACTTTTCTCTTCTTTATTTAGCTCCTTTAAAACTATAGGTGAATCCCTTAAGTAAATTGAACTAAACTATTTAATGTCATTTGTTTAAAGGCAAAATCTTCATTACGTTTTTGTCTCCATCACTTTTTACTGTGAGCTTCCGACTAAGACACACACACGCACACATACACACACTAAAGTCCTGACCCTCATCTAATTATCCCACAGATCTGCAGCTCCGTGCACCCAGCTTCCTGCCACTCCAGATGTGCCTACAGCATCTCTGATGTCTATTTAATGTTCCCCAGCAAAGTGACCATCTGTTTATGCGCTCTGGCTGTTCCCCTCCTTCCTCTCTCTGTCTCTCTCCCTCTTCAGTCCCTGTGTTTAGTAAAGACTTTTAAGAGGCTGGGCAACATCTGACATATATGGTTGTCCTAATTGATTCTTTTCCTCTTTAAATTGTTACAGTGTGTTTTGCATCAAGTTATGAGTTTCATTCTGAAAAAAACAGTTCACCATGTGGATATTTTCTTCTATATCCTCTTAATTACTT